TTTTTTAAAAAAAAAATTTATATATATATATATATATATATATATATATATATATTTTTTTTTTTTTAAATGAAGAACTGTGTTTGCTGAAGAAACGCTGCAAGGGAAACCAACCCGGGTTCCAAACTAGCATAAAAAAATAACCAAACTCCAACTGAAAGGCAGGTGAGACCATAAAGACTGGATCCTATATCTGGTTTTTATGGTTTCAGGTACTTACAGGTCCGTTTGTTCTTCCTGAGCCCCCTTCAGAACCGGGTACTTCATCCGGGTTTTAGAAACGGCCCATTGGATGTTTGCTCAGCATTTGCATCACTTCTGCTCAGAAAACTGAAAAATCTACCTGGAGAAGCCGTTACTCTGCTACAGTTCAGATCCTGTTGAAGTGTCTGACGCTTTCCCTCAGCAAACACCTGCTGTGTTCTGATTGGTTGAGATAAGTTAGCGGCTGCTAGCCTTTAGCCCGCAGTCCTATTGGGTTTTTGGCTTGTATCAGAAGAGAAACTTCTCACTTCCTGTTTGCTTTGTGGCATGGCATCTCACCGCATCAGATGAGCAGCAGCAGTTTACATGCCTGACATTTACTTTGTATGTCCTCTCAAATACCACAATTTGCAAAGTTATTTTTTACAATATCTGTGCTTTGTAAACATCTTTGTTACCCAACCAGACTCTTCTGCAAAACAGACTAGTGTGGAGCAGAAAAGAGGAACTTTTTACTTTTTAATCAGTCAAAATGATTTTGTATGTTTTAGAAAAGTTGAAGTTCTCCAGTCTCTGTGGGGTTTCTAAAGTAAATGAATAAATTAGAAACCATTGTTGGTTTCCTCTGGGATGAACTGAGCATATAAACCACTTCATTAAAAACCACCTGACACCAACATAGACCATTTCCTCTAAAAGATGGGAGCTTTTTCACAGTCAGTTTGATTCAACGCAGATGAGCTTTTGATTGTGTATTTACAATAAGTGGATGACTGTTGAACTGGTAAAGGGCAAAGTCTTGGACAAGGTTCTAATGTTTTAATCATCAGAACAGAAGTTGCATGATCTGACCTGAAGACACTAGGACTTTGAGTCCTCTGAACTGGAATAATAATGTTTTATAGGGTTTCCTAGGATACGAGGACGGGGACAGTAATTCTATGAAATCAAACATTGGCTACTGTGAAGATGCCTGAGCACCGACATGCAATAGGTTATGCCATAGAGATACCAAGCTCTGGTTTGAGAGAGGAAAAGCCTTTTGAAGAGGAGACGGAAGCAGAGATGGTGTAGGTACAGATTTAACCCGATGTCATCTGAGGAATCTGCTTTGAGGAAGTTAACAGCCGTCAAGCCTGAAGTGCCTCCACTCAGCCAATTACCCACAACAAGCTTCCACATTTACCGTCAGTCTGACAAACTCCACCACACCACATGATCCACCTGCCTCCATCTCTGCATAGAGGAGCATAAGCTCTTCTACGATGTTCCCACCTCAGGAACCTTTTCCAGGAACCATAGTGGTTTGTTGAGGCCAATCTCTTCTGAGCTTCCTGGAATTATGACGTTAAAAGGCTAAATGAAGCCCAGACTCCCTAAAGATAGAATATCCTACAGTGTTTATGTCCAGAGATGATAACCGAAACAACCAATCAGCAACTGATTTTAAAGCTGCAGTATGTAGCTTTTACAAAAATAAATATTTTTTTATGAGTTAAAACTGTCGCCATGTTGTGATAATTTAATACGACACAGATAATCTGTGAAAAGATCAATATCCTCCACCTATCCCCTGAGCTATTATTGCCGTTTGAAGAAATGCTCCACAGCCAATCAGAGGAGTGTCTTGGTGCTGTCAGTAAACCTATTTCTTTCTGCTCCGCCATTAGCAAAATGTGCTAATGGAGGAGAAACAACCTACTGTTCCAGTAAGACCGTCTATCCGCCGTCATCGGTGATCATGCTAACTAACCTGATCATTCACAACATGCTCTGCTGACAGGGAGAAGGTCTATCATAGCAGTAAGCAAGAGAGAGTGTGTGAGCAGCATGTACATGAGGTTGATTGACAGCGATAAGACTCTCTTCCTGGCTCTGATTGGTTGTTTCTGACTGAGCTGTGTATCTCTGTATTTAGATCTACTGTAGGAGAAGGCAGAGGACCTCAATTTTCACAACATGTGACAGTTTTAAGTATGTAAAAAACATGTTTGTTTTTTTTTTTAAATAAGCTACATACCCCATCTTTAGGGATGCATTCACACCAGTCTTGTTCAATCCGCTTTAATTCAACTCCAGTCCTTCTGCCTGGAAAGTCCAGTTTGTTTGGAGAGGTGTGAATGCGTAAACGTACCAAAACAGCGAATTCTAGTCCGCCTGCAAACCTTGGCCTGGGTTCGGTTGATGTGAACTGGAAACCGCTCTAAAAGCAGGAAGCGGAATACAGCGCAGGGCATTATGGGTAAACAGAACCAAAACAAACGCGTCAGCCTAGCGCTAGCGGGAGAAGTGGTACGTGGTCTTTAGCCAAAGACAAAAGAGAAATCATACAGTCGCTATAATCTCCCTCTCCCTCGGTTGTCAAAGCACCTTAGTGGTCAGGTAAACACTCAGAAATGTAGTTGAGCTGTGTGGGTGTTGGAGAAAAACAGTTTTTGATGTTAAAAAGAGTCTGTGTGTTTCACTCCACCGCTCGGCAGCGCACGCTTGTGGGTTAATTTGTCCTTCTTAGTATCTAACAGGCTGTAGAGGTGGATCAGGTTTGCCCTGTGTATTGTCTTGAAGGCATAACATCGGGTTAAACACATTGGTTTCCTCCAATCTTGTAAAAGTTTGTGAAGCTATGTTATGTGTTTTATTAAGTGTGATAACTAATTGCAAAGAAATAAGTGCTAAGCAAAAGTATTTTGCAAAGCATGTTAATTTGTCCCAGGTTAATTACTTAAGTTAAGGTTTGCAGATTATGTTGTTTATTCCCAGAGTGAAAGTGAAACCAAGATTTAAGTGCTGAAGTCCTTAAACATTATAATTTAATAAATTGTCAATACTGAATTTGAGACTACTGTAATGTCAGCATAGTCTAATTTCTTATATATTCAATGTCTGATATTAAAGCTCTATTAGAGAGAATGTGGTATAAGATACTACAGATTTGGATGTAATGAAATGTTTTTTTTGAAGACAGGAATGTATGAAAATTTAAAAGCACTCATGTTTCAGTTAGAAACTGAAGTATAGGAATTGGAACTCAAGGAAATGTTTGTATAAAATACGTTTTTGCAAAATGGAGACAAACTGGATCACACATTTTTGGACAAGGGAATTATCTGGGATTTAATATCTGACTCTTTTTCTGACATTACATGAGCATAATGTCTGAGTTTAGTCAGATACTGCAATGTAAAGAAGAGAGGACCAGCACATGAAAACCATAACACCATAAAAATATAATAATGCAACAACACAAGTATCACCATGTCATGGTGTTAAGAACTTTAACTTTCTCTTTTATCCAAAGTTGCTTCATTTTGTTTAGGTTTCTGCTCAGATGGTCGTACCACAGCTTTCAGGCTGGTTGGGTTCTGGAATTTAACTAGGCCGTTGCAAAATTTTTTTTTTTTTTTTTGCCATTATTTTGTTTATCTACTGCTTTCAGAGATTATCTGTTTATGGTCTAGTTTGTTCCAAGCTTTGGCTGATGGATTCTGGCCTCCAGAATATTTTGGTTTGCAGATTCATTGTCTACTTAATGACTGTGAGGTACTTGGAATAATCACCCGTCCCCTACCAGGCGTGACACTAAGTATTTTTAATTTTTGGGACTAGCTGCGTTTATTGGACAATAAAATGTCTGTGTCTGGTGTGTGTGCTCCACCAGGAACCTCCTTTATGGTCAGTGTTAGTGGTTGGTGCTGTGTTTGATTTTCTTCAATGATGGTGCAATGAATTATATCGTAGCATCTTTTGTCTTGAAACATAAACTCTGAACATTTGAGAAGACTTATTTCTCATTATAACTACTGTAAAAAATATGTCATGCTTAAAGAAAGTACAGCTTTTTTTCATTACTTCAGTTATTTGATGCAACAACACTGATGCAGGAAACATTCCCGTTAATTGTCTGCTCAGCTATTAGAAGTAAAAATCTGTCAGACCTGCATTAGGATTTTATTTATTATGGGTCCTGATGAATTAAAATAAGCTTTTATATTGTCATAGATTTTTCCACCATATTCTCCCACAAGTCCCATGAACCAAACATAAACAGAAGGAATAAAACAAAATAACACTTTATTGTACTACTATTGGAAAATTCAAGTGTACCAGAGGCAAGTTAAAGTTAAATAGGAGCATTCAGTTTCAACAAAAGTAATGAGATAAAAACTTGAAGATAAAACTTGAAAATAAGAATATTTACAGGAATTGCAAATTTACATCATATAAAAAACAACACATAGTTATTAAAATGAGCAAACTCAGATTATAAGAAATGATTAGCTTATTTTAGAAGTAGAATGTGCGCCCCCTGTGGACCATTGTTGCAATATGACTTCAAACTGTTTCTGATTTTGCATGGCTGTTGATCCCACTGCTACATTTTGCACACATACTAAACATCTTTTTAGAGGCTCTTTGCCACCAAGAGCAGTGGGAGGTACATCCACTTATGCTTAATATGACAAATTTGCACACGAGCTACTAGATTTACTCACAGTACTCACAGAAAGTTGGGTATATTTGACTTTTGGGTGAAATTTATGGAAAATGTAAAAACACTATGCAACAAGCATGCAGTGGTGATTTCTTCATCTAAAACTGAGTTGAAACAAAAACCAACAACAGAGGTTGGTACATCACTATGAAAAATGTCTCACTACTGTTTCATGTGAACTTAGCTCACATGATTACAGCTTGGCAATGACAAGTCAACTTACTGTCTGCTGAGGCGTGATATGCCCTCAGGTCATTGTCTGAGCATTAGCATCCCTCAGAATTAATTAGACCTGCTGATTGTGCAGAGGCACAGTGACTGGGTTAAGGATGTTATTCCATTCACTGTAGCAGGTCGTAACAGACCATGCTGAGTAAACTGATTCAAAAGGCCTGATGTAGCACTTCTCTTTGATGCACCTGGAGTTTAGTGCTAATCATCATTCATTTTTTCAGGGCATTGCTCACAATGAAGCAGTAATCTACGTGGAATGTGAACAAAGCACGTCCACCTTTATGTCGTCCTCTGACTCTTCCAGCCTCTTTGCTGAGTACCATACTAATATTATATGAGCTATTTTTAAAAAAGTTAGAAAATGTTTAATCAGAAACAACCTGGACTGATGATTCCCATGTCTATCATTCTGTCCTCACTGAGCCCGGGGCGCTACACTGGTACTGATGGTGTTCATCTGATTCTCACTGTCTCCTGCCTCCGAACTGGAGGTGTTTCTGTTGCCTTTTATGCAGAATATTTTTTTCAAGTTAAGCTGAGCCCTGAACTCCTTACAAAGAAACACATAAATAAGAGGATCCAGAATGATATTAAAAACTGACAGTAAGACGGCCACCTCTTTGACGTAGTACATCACTGCTGAACATTGTCCTTGAAGTATGATGTATGGAATTCGAACAATGTAATGAGGAACAAAGCAAAAGCAGAACACACTGACCAACACCAACATGTTCCTGCGAGATTTCATAAGCTTCTTGGAGTTGGCGGAGGCCAGCTGCCTCTCCTGTACCTCCAGCACCCTGCGGGAGGCGCTATAGTAGAAGAAAACCAGAGAGAAGAGTCCTGACAGGAAGATGATGAAAGCAAAAGCATGACTTGCTGGGTACACTGGTCTTATGAGTTCTTTGAGCAGATGACCACAGGTGCCATGATCAGACCGTTGAGATGTGCGGTTGATCAGCATAAGAATGGAGTATGGCGTTATCATGGTCAAGAGAACAACCCAGGAGGTCATCGAGATGATGTGGCTGGCTTTGGAAGACATCAGGAAGTGAGTTTCCGAGGAATAAAATATCTTCATGTACCTGTGGAGAAGAACAAGGATAATGCTTTCTCAGGAGGATGAATCTAAGGAAAGATAGACATTTGATCTTTTTTCTGAAGACATGATGGCGTTGCTGCAGTTTGTGGTGGTAATGCAGGAGCTGAGGTAAAACTGGAGCTCTAAGGCTGCGTTCACACTGCCACCTGAAGTGACCCAAATTAAATTTTTTTCTTAATGGGATTTTTTTGGCCTGGTCATTCACACTTCAAAATACATGTGACTTATATGTGATCTCCTGTGTGAACCGCAAACCACCTGAAAGTTTCCCACATGCGCAGTAGAGGGAGCAACAACATCACACATAAAGAGCGTGCTCGTTGTTTTGCCAACCACCATAAAAGAGGAAGAAGTTCTCAATGTTTGCAGATGTAGATGTGGATGCTGTGCACAAACAAGCACCAACCTGTGCCTCTATCAACCCTCATTGTGGTCCGCCATGGTTGTTGTTTTTCTTCTACCTTGCACATATCAGGGTGCCAGTAGTGACGTTTGTCAAGTGATGTTATGATGCTCTAACTGGGACTAATGGCTGATGCATCATTTGAACTGATTTGTGAACCACACCGCCTGATTTACGTCTCTCTGATGTATTCATTCATTTAGCTCACTTGTCAGCATTGATGGCTCATCACAACATGAAACGGAGCATGTTTGGCCCATGCTTTAAATCTACTCTTCATTAATTGCCTGGCTGGTAAATGAGGTGCGGTACCTGTTAGCTGCAATGTAACTCATGAACAGGATGCTGGCAGTCATGTTGAGGAACAGGAGCGGGGCTCCAACGCTGCAGTAGAGCAGGTGAATGGTGTATGACTTCCTGGCGTAGTGAATAATGCGCAGCGGGAGGCTGATGCAGAGCAGAAAGTCAGCCGCTGTCAGATGTTTCAGGTAGATCATCCAGCTCTTGGATGCTTGTCCATGAGCTCCACGGCAGTGAAACCACAAGGTGAAGCTGTTGAGGATCAATCCCACCTGCAGAGGAAATGATTGAGTTGATGGTGAAACCAAAACTTTAACTTATTTTTTTCTTTAAATTGGATTGGTACAACCTAAAGACCTGATGCTCACCAGAAACAGCAGACAGTAGATCAGTATTAGGAAAGGGTGGTATGATGTTTCCACTGAGTCACACGTTTTGTTCTGCCCAGTGCCTGAGGAATTTGCTCTTACCAGGTCTGCCATGGTTCTGCAGGTTTATGATGAGGAGTAAAACTCAGAGACTGTATGGAAAGTGTCTGCAAACATTCATTACCTCAGTTGTTTTAAGATCTGTGTCCCTGACCTCTGTGGTCATGAAATTCTGTCATCAAATGTTGATGAAGCGTCCGAAGACCATCACAGAACTGCTGCTGATAACCTTCAGTTTGTTTACGAGACAGATGACCGCCATCCTGGGATTTCACTTCGGCCCGCACCACACTGACCACCCGACGGCGTGCGCCAGGACCTGTTCGGTCTTGAACCACCAACCCAGAGATCCTCCACCAGAAGCTCACTGTGCCAACCACTGTGTTAATGGTTCACAAGGTCTCTGACTTACTGGCACCAGCAGGTGAAAATGGGGAGGATCTTCAGTAAAAGTACTGACCTGGCTTTACTGAGACTTTGTTGACAAATGAACCATATGCTGAAAAATTTAGATGTCATGTTGTGTGTTTGTTGAGTGAACCTAAATGCAGCAGGCGGAGGCGCTGGATCGAATTTTGCAGATCAATGAAAAAATCTGCAAAGACTTACAAAAAACCATGAGAGCACAAGGAGCCAGGGGAGAACAAAAAATACCAGGAACAAATAAAAGCACAAGGAGCATGACCAGGGCAACAGGATCTAACAGGACAAACCAGTAAAGAGTGGGAAGACAAGAAGTGTTTAAGTACCGGGAGAGTGAATGTGAAACAGAGAGACGGAGAGAGAGTACACCGAGGAACAGGAAATAAATCTAACACTAAAGAATAAGTAGACATAAGTAACATAATTAAACTAGAATAGCAAAGAATAACTACACAGAAGAAATAAACACAATAAACTAGAATAACTAAGAAAGTTGAACTAAAGTGAAAATGGAAACAAGGCTGATCTAATTACATTTAGGGGATTTTCAACATGCTTCACTGAGAAGGACCAGCATTGCCCCCTTCCCTTCTTTGCCCCTGCACAGATAACATTTTCCAGATCCACCACTGATTTCCAGCTAACCGTTTTCTGAACTAAAAATATCAGACCTTGATCCTGAACGTTGATAGGATGAAGAAAAGATGCAGAAATCTCCAAGATCATCAATGTTCTGCCTATGCTTGTGTTTTAGAGCAGCTTAATAACAATCAAAACATTAAATATATGTAAAGGAAATGTAATGAAACAAAAAAGATCCCAAAGCTGGAAAAACCTGGAGCAAGATGGATTTTGTCTGAAGGTACTTACAGCTGATTTTGTTCTTCGTCTCGGCACCAGAAGCTGAATCTCTGAGGCGTCAGGGCTCTTCCTGTCAGAATGACATCTCCTCAGAGTTGGGGAAAGTGTTGAAAGACAGATTTTCACACTGATGAAACGGTGTCTACTCCTTTCTTGCTTTAAATGAAATTAACTTATTCACAAGCTTCCTGGTTATCTTCTGCTTTCTTGTGAAGAAGTAAATGGTTGAAGTCATGATGTTTTCTGAGTAACAGTCCACTTCCCATTCAGACCACATAAACTGAAACCAGACGAGAATTAATTTTTACATCACATGGTCACATGTACTCTTTTGCTTTGCTTTTCTTAGTTTAGCATTTGTGGTGCTAATTTTAAGTTTAGAGAATCCCTTTTTGATACGTTGTGACATTTTATTAAATCATTAACTGCTGATTTCAAGCCAGACTACTGGTCTGTCATTGGTTGCCTGATTACTGTTCTAGATTGGGTTTCCGCGGTTCTTGAGTGTCAGAGGGAGAAAACCACCAAAATGAATGCATAGCACAGCATTTTACTTATGTTTTGAAAAGGAGTCATGTCACTAATGTCAGCTAACACTAGTCATAAAACAATAAGCTCATCCGCTTAGCGACGGAGTCAGTCTTTAGTGGGCAAATGTGTTAACCTAAAGATCTGACTCATTCTGACTCAGCAATACCATGCTGGCTAAAATAGATTACACCTCTTTGTTCAGCAGATCTTGAAACAAGATCTGCCCATTTTTCATACCCAAGTGCAGTGGAATAAAGGTGAAGTTTTATGTTGCAATGCAGACATAGAGATCAACTTTGGTTGTTTTATTTAATTTTGATTTGCTTTTTTTGTATAATTAGTGTTTAGTAAAACTAAAAGGATCAGACAAGAGGAACATTTACTTTGCCCTCATGTTTACTATTAAATGAAATGTTAAACTTAAGCGTGCTGAATAAAAACAACCCTGGTTTGAGCTGTAACTGATCACAGGACAAACATGTATACAGTTTTGAAGCAATGTAGAAATGCCAATAACTAGTAATTAGTAAATGAAGCTTTCAGCACAGTGCCATCTGGTGGCCACATGTCAGAGATTCGGCTTCAAGTGGACCATCACCATCTCCTGCCATGCTGGTTGGGCTGCCTAGTGGAGTACCCGGAGTGAATCCACACACTTATGGGAAGAACTGTAATGGTGTCATGTGCC